TTGAGTAGTCATCTTTAAATATGAATGATTTGTTGATTTCTGTCACCTGCTTTCACTGAGAATAAAGCCACTGAGTTATCTGTTGACATGTCAAAAACTTAAAGAGCAAGCCTGGACATGGAAAGCAGATCTTTCTCTCTCTCTAGTTATCTCTGGCTCTTAGTTTTGTCTGTGAGAAGTTAAGCAAGCTCTGGATTCTCTTGGTTGCTGTGCTAATACTATGCAGATGGTCTTCTCAACCCTGAGACCCAAGCAAATGGAATGAGAAATGAAGTTCACATGTACAAGCATTTGTCTCATCGAAACAGTGTTTGGCATAAACTCTATTGCTCCTATTTCACTTTTATTTCTGCCCCAACAATTTTTCATTGTCTTCTTATGCAATGGCACACTTCCTAAATAGTACTAGGTACTTGATCGACAAATAGAAATTATTGCACTTAATAAAATAATGACTTTAACATTTTTCAGGGAATACCTAATTAGAGGTTATTTGTACAATGATCATTTGGTAACATAATTGAATAGTCAGGTACGTTCATAATTATCCAATACATACTGTGCTCACTCTACTTCAACTTCTGAGTAACTATCTAATAATTCTGCCAAGATGACTTTCTTTCTAATCCTAGCGCTGCTTGTGTGATTCGCAAAATAGCAAAGAACCAATTCAGAGTTCATCTTTATTACTTCTTTTTGCTATACGCTATTTCTGGAGGTGCTAAGTCACTGTAACAGAGTTATTAAGTAAACCATCAACGTAAACCTTGAAAATATTTGTTATTTCGACTAAGCTTTTGGTACTGGCTAAAAGTGTGCGCAAGCTATGTACATTCACAGAGTTACATTTTTGAGGGGAGAGTAGCAAACACAGAAGTTCTTGATTCTAGAGTCAAAGGTTACTGGAGGCCACACTGACCACACGCACCGTTACAGGCCAGTCGGGATACAAGCCAGTCTGTGGTTCCACTTTTCTATTTTGATTTTAACCTGCCTCTTTCCCTCCCAAGGTCAACATAACTAAGAACCAGTGATGACTACAGAGGCTCCGGATCCCCACCTACCCATCCAGTGAGAACACTGACAGTGCCCACCTGACAACCCCTCTTAACGTGCTCCCCTAACCTGGGAGGAAGGAGGGTAGAGGCTGGATTTCATGACCTCTGTGGTAAAGTGGACATGTGGAACTACGTCCTCTTTGTGTGGGTCTCACATTGTCAGCACCAAAGTCAAAATCACAGTGCACACTGCAAAATCACAGTGCACACTGCAACAGGTAATGTCTCATGATGTTACGTTAGGGACATTCTGAAAGGTGCCTCGACAGTGTCTCCTTCAGCATCTTTGACAAAACAATGAAACATTCCCCACATTTATGTGGCACTTTGCAGTTGGCAAAGCTCTTTCACTAGCATCATCCCATTCAACTCGATAAGGATATAATGGGTGGGGGGAGCTTAATGTTTTCAAAACAAAGGGCGAACAAGCTCAGAGAGCTTCAGTGACTTATCGAGGGTCACATAGTAAATGGTAGATTATTTTACTGTATGTCTAGGGTCCTTTCCATGATATGACACAGATTGTAGACATAGCAACAAGTAGCACTTTTGGAGATAGCTGTAATTCCTTGAATAGGAATAAATTTTCATTGCACATGGGAGATAAAGCTCAAAATGGAAGTCTTCCTCTGAGAGTGGGAAAGCATTAACAAATGCGTACCATAGGCCTTTGCATATTCAAAATATTAAACTTATTCGAGGATCATAGATTTGATTTAAGACATGGTACTTAATAGAAAAGTTCTAGATTGAAGTTAATTTTTGTAAA